CCACTGAGGACTCTGGGGCCTGAACCCCAGGCTGGGCTTCCCAGCCAAGAGCACCAGAACTGAGAAAGGTGCCCACATAATATCTGGCTGTGAAAAGCAGCAGGGTTTCTATCAGACAGGGAGAGGCTGCTGGAAATGCAGGCACCCTCTTAAAGAGCCAACACACAAAGTTTCCTGTGAAACCATTCACCTTAGGCTCCAGCAGAGGGAGGGCAGAGTGGACTGGAGCGGTGTGAGGAGAATCTAGGGTTGTGGGCTCTGGAGATAGAACTCAGAGGGCACCCCTCTGGATTCCTGTGCTGAGTCATTCCCCCATACTGCAGAAGACATATTTCACAGGCAGAGATTACCTTCCAAGCAGTTTTTGCCTGAGGGGGAAGCAATTGCCCCACCCTGCTGGAAAACCTCTTGCCCTACCTCTTGGAGTTTCCACAGGCTGAGGCTCATTAAGAGAATTGAATTAATTAGCCTACAGGCAGAGGCAGACCTCAGAGTGCTTTGAGTCTTTGCCTGATCTGCTTCTGGATCCGAGCCTGGGAAAAGCAGACTTTGGTGTGCATATTGGTACTGGCCAAATGCACCCAGCCCCAACAGAAGGGAACTCAAGTCATGAGTTGATAGCTCCAAACAGGGTACTCAAAGCCAGTCACAAACTGCATCTGACATTGGCAACAGAGACTGTCCAAAAAGACTAAGAGTCCTAGCAGGCCTACCTAACACAGAAAGAAACCCAAGTGGGCCGCCAAAATGGGGAGACAAAAAAGCCCCAAATGAAAGAACAAGAGAAGTCTTCAGAAAAAGAGCTAAATGAAATGGAGATAAGCAATCTATCAGATATAGAGTTCAGAATACTGATTGTAAGAATACTCAACAGCATGAAAAAAGATATGGAAACTAAAAAATGACCAGTCACAAATGAAGAATGACATAGCAGAAATAAAGAATACCTTGGAAGGAATAAATAGCAGACTAGAGGAAGCTGAGGGTCAGATCAGAGAATTAGAAGACAGGGTAGAAAAAATCAGAGATCCAAAAAGAAAATACAATTTAAAAACAGGAGGATATTCTAAGGGAGCTGTGGGACAATATGAAACACAACAATATTCACATCATGGGAGTGCCAGAAGATGTCGAAAGTAAGCAAGGGTTAGAGAACCTGTTTGAAGAAATAATGGCAGAAAACTTCCCTAATCTGGTCAAGGAAAAAGTCAGGAGGCAAAGAGAGTCCCAAGCAAGAAGAATCCAAAGATGCCCATGCCCAGACACATCATAATTAAAATGCCCAAAATTCAAGACAAAGAATCTTAAAGGCAGCTAGAGAAAAGCAATCTGTTACTTACAAAGGAGTTCCCATAAGGCTGTCAGCTGACTTCTCTTCAGAAACTCTTTAGGCCAGAAAGGAATGGCATGAAGTATTCAAGGTCATGAAAAGCAAGGACCTGAAACCAAGAATACTTTATCCAGCAAGGCTATCATTCAAAATAGATAGTGAAATAAAGAGCTTCCCAGACAGTAAAAGGCTAAAGGAGTTTATCACCACCAAACCAGGACTGCAAGAAATGTGAAAGTGACTGCTGTAATAAGAAGTTGAAATAGATAGAGAAACATAGGCAGAAATAAATAAAATGGGCCCGGCCGGGCGTGGCTCAGCCGTTGAGGGTTGACCTAGGATCCAGGCGATCAGGGTTTGATTCCCAGTCAGGGCACATGCCCAGGTTGCGGAGTCGATCAATGACTCTCTCATCATTGATGTTTCTATCTCTCTCTCTCCCTCTCCTTTCCTCTCTCTGAAATCAATAAAGATATATTTAAAAAACAAAAACAGAACACACACATACACACACACAAAAAGAAATAAAATGGCAATAAATAAGGACCTATTAGTAATAACCTTGTCAGAAGGATGGAGGAGGGCAGGTGGGTGGAGCGGGAGAGAGTAACCAAAGAATTTATATGCATATATGCACAACCCAAGGACACGGACAATGGTGGGGAGAGGGCCTGGGGAGGGGGATGGGATGGGGTTGAATGGGTCATTGGGGAGAAAAATATTTTAAACAAAAATAAAATTAAAAAAAATAATAACCTTAAGGACTTTAAGGGAGAGATCAACAGCAATACAGTCATAGCCACGGACTTTAACACCCCACTGACCTCACGGGATAGATCTTCCAGACAAAAAGTCAACATAGAAACAGTGTCTCTAAATGGCACATTAGATCAGATGGATTTAATTGATATTTACAAAACATTTCACCCCAAATGTTCTGCAGAATATACATTCCTCTCAAGTGCACATGGGTTATTCTCAAAGATAGACCACGTTAGGACACAAAACAAGTCTCTACAAGTTCGAGAAGACTGAAATCATATCAAGTATCTCAGATCACAATGGCATGAAATTAAAAATCAACTACAGTAAAAACACGCAAAAGCACCCAAACACATGGAGGCTAAATAGCATGTTATTAAACAATGAATTGGTTACCAATAAGAAATCAAAAACGTCCTGGAAACAAATGAAAATGAACACACAACAACCCAAAATCTATGGGGCACAGCAAAAGCAGCCCTAAGAGGGAAGTTCATAGCACTACAGGCCTACCTCAAAAAGCAAGAAAAATTTTTAGTAAACTAACCCTACAACTTAAAGAATTAGAATGCTCCCTTGTGAAGCTGTCTGGACCAGGGCTTTTGTTTGCTAGTAGTTTTTTTATTGCTGCTTCGATTTCATCAGTTGTTATTAGCTTATTCAGGTTTTCTGATTCTTCCTGATTCAGTTTTACATGATCTCACTCATATGTGGAATCTAACAAACAAAATAGACTGAGGAACAAAATAGACCCAGAGGCACAGAAGCATGGAACAGATTGATGAATCTCAGTGGGAAGGAGGGAGTGGGGAAGTGGATGGGAATAGATTAATCAAAGAACTTACATGCATAAATGCATAACCCATGGACACAGACAGTAGTGTGGTGAAGGCCTGGGGGTGGGGGAAGGCAGAGGTGGTTGGGAGGTTATCAATGGGGGAAGAAAATGGGGATATCTGTAATACTTTCAACAGTAAAGATAAATTAAAAAAAATAAAGCCCAGCCGGGCATAGCTCAGCAGTTGAGCATCAACCTAGGATCCAGGAGATCCCAATTTGATTCCCGGTCAGGGCACATGCCCAGGTTGCAGGCTTGATTCCCAGTCGGGGACATTTGGGAGGCAGCCGATCAATGACTCATCATCAATGTTTCTCTCTCTCCCTCTCTCTAAAATCAATAAAGATATATTTTAAAAAAATAAAAATAAAATAATAAAAATAAAACATTGTGAAGTAAATCCTTTGTAAACAGAAGTGTTCTTTTGTAACCATCCCGCCAATCTATTCTTTTCATAAGATCATACTTTTGTGTATTTATGTTGTAGAAGTGTAAAAACTCTCTCTACGAAAGCCTTGGGGACAAGAATCTGGCTTGAAAGAGGAATGTATTTGCATAGGTCTCTAGTTAAAATTAAGAGTGACTTGTCCAGACAGAAGAATAAAGATTTTAGGAATGAAAAATCCATTCCATGCTATTCTTAGTAACACCACTGCACTTGCATATATTTTCATAAAATATTCTTGGAGCTACAATAGTAGTGTTTACATTAAGGTTAGCTGGAGAAACCTAGATGAGGGCCAGATTCAACCCAAGGACAAAGTTCTCTTTCTTCTGGCCTAATGCTTTCAAATGATATTCCATAGAATTCCTATTCTCCATCCAACACAACCTAAATCTCCTTTTTCCAGAAGTTTATCTGAGTCTGTCAGCATAATCACTCTAATGGCATTCTGTATATATCTCTACTAGCCTTTAGCTCACTGCATTATAATTTTTTTATGCACCTGCTTTCACCACTAGCCTGGGAGCTTCAAGGCATAATTTGTATTTTATTTAGTATTATATCCCAGTTCTAGCATTCTCTCTTGAACAAAGTAGGAATTAATAAATTGTTGCTAAATGAATTCAGGTACCCGTACAACATATTTCTAGGAATTTCTTGAAAGCAAGTTGTGAACTCATCTTTCTGCCATGTAACTAAGTTTGCTACTCCCAGAGAACACATAAAGATATAACCATAATGGCCTGGCTGGTGTGGCTCAGCTGTTGAGCATCAACCTATAAGCCAGGAGATGACTGTTCCATTCTCAGTCAAGGCACATGCCCTGGGTTCTGGGCTCAATCTCTGGTTGGGGTGTGCAGGAGGCAGCCGATCAATGATGTTTCTTTCTCATTGATGTTTCTATCTCTCCCTCTCCTTTCCTCTCTCTCTCAAAATCAATAAAAACATTTTTTTTTAAAAAGGAGACAAA